CAGCTTTTTCTTTTTTTAACATATTTTTTTTTTTTAGTTGTAGATGGACACAATATCTTTATTTATTTATTTTTGTGTGATGCTAAGGATCAAACCCAGTGTTTCACGCATGCGAGGCAAGTTCTAGCCCATGGCACCTTTTTCTTGTGTCTGAGATCCCTCCTGCTGTCACTTGCACCCTTGACTCAGACTATCATCCTTGTGTCAAGATTGAGCTGGCTTGGGGGGAAATGAATACAGACCAAAGGGCCAGAATGTGTTCGCTGTCTTCACAAAGAGTTCGGTGAACTTGCACCCTTAACACACGGGGTGTTCATCCTTCAGTGAACTTGGCTGGAAGAAGGAAGCCTTTCGTGGTTTGGTTTGAAGAGTCAAATATTATTTTTCTAACATAATCACAAAACATACCTGCTATTCTCTCCCCCAACAGTTCTGTTCTAACTCCTTAACATGGACAGTGACTTCAGTGTTTGGCTGACAAAGGTGGACATTGTCCAGCCATGGCCTCGTTCCAAAAATGCACCATCCTAGTCCCCGGGGATTTCCAAGGGAGATGCCATTGCTCAGAGGAAAGTTGAGAGTTGAGCCGAGTTCTGAGTTGGCTCAAAGACTACCAGGGACCAACTGCCTGAGTTTCCCCAGCCCCTGACACCCGGGGCTTTCTTCTAAGCCCCCAATCCGGGTCCTATCAGATGTTTCAAGTCCTTCTTGAGGGTTACATTCTTGCTAATGGGATTGGCAGCTGAGACTCAAAAAAGCAGCACATTCTGTAAACACTGATCTGCAAATAGGGCAGCTGGGAATGAATCTAGAACCCAACATGTGGCAGGAGAACAGAGAGCTTCCCTTGCCACATGCGTTCCCATCAGTCACCAGTTCCTCCAGAGCCCGCCTAAGAGCTGCTCTGAATATCATGGAAGGCTGGAGGGGACAGCATGGGGCAATCCTGGGCCTCAGGGCCCTCTGCCCACCTCACAGCAGGTGTAAGAAGGGGGGCACTGGCCACCTTCACATTCCCCACTACCCTCTGCTGTTCCAGACTATTTCAAGAGCTGAGGGGACAGAGCAATGGACCCACAAAGGGGCCAATGGCACTTGCCATGTCACGTTCTCCAGTTAGAAAGCCTTTCTCTTCGTATTTGGTAATTAATGTTTTGCCCTTTCTTTAATGGCTTGCTCTAAACCCACCTCCCCCTCTCTACCTTTCCTGATTAAACCTATGTTTCTGATTCACAGCCTGATGCTTGAAGCACCCTTAAACTAAGGCGACTTTTTCCTGCAAGTATTTTATCCTGTTTGGCCTGGGAGCTCACCTGGAGACAAAGGCAGTGCCCATTGCAAAAGAACATCTTTCCCACTTCCTTGTTTTTAGATCTACTGAATTCAACCCATGAAATCCACCCCCAGGGGTCCAGCTGCCACAGGACTACAGGAATTTTCAAAACTGAACCTGTCACTTGCAAAGCAGAACTAGGAGCCTCAATTGCAGCAAGGTCAGACAGACCCCACCATCCGGGGACTCCCGGAACTCCAGGATACACATGCCTTTATCCCATCCGTATTCCTATGAA